CCAGAGCCAGGCTCAGCATCTCAGCTCCTCAGGGGCTGATGTCACCCCGCGCAGGCGCCGCCTCTCCAAGGAGGGGCTCATCTCTGGGCAGCAGCATCCCCCTCATCGCTGCAGATGCTCTGGCATCCCCCCAGACCCCCCCTTCCACAGCTCTCTGCTTCCCCAGCCCGAGCTGCGTCTTGTCCCCCTTTCACCATGACCCATGTGCCCCCTCCGTGCTGTCACCTCCGCGGTGTCTCTGGGACCCTCTGTGACCCGTGAAGGGGGCAGCCGGCCAGCCACCGCGGTGGCCGTGGTCACGGTGCGGTAGTGGCCCATCCGTGGCACGATCTTGCTACCGGTGCAGGGCAGTAAGTAGCTCCCTTTGTGCGGCGGAAATTCAGAGCAGCTCTTCTGGGTGGGCTCAGGATTTGCATGATAAAAGAAAGAGCAGAGGCAGCCTGGGCCCCTTTTGTTTCCTTTTTTTTTTTCCCAGGCCAGACGTGTTCAGGGCAGAAATGCTTTGGACTCTTCTTGCCTTCGTTGGGAGGAGCAACTTAAATCCTTGGCTCCAAAACCAGGTTGTTGCCGGCTCAGTCTGAGACTTAAATTCAAGTTGATGTTTTGATGCCACAGAGTCTCTTTTAATCCTCTCTGAATCCACAGCGCAGGGACAGACCGAGGAAAGGGACAGTGAAGGACGGTAAACATCGGGGGCATCCTGAGCGGAACAGCACTGCAGGAGAGGCTCAGCACAGAACCAGTAAGGATTTTCCTGATAAATTAACTGGGGGTAACGGTCTGGGCAGTTGCGATGTAGCACAGCAGAGGGGGTTGCTACCTTGGAGATGGCTGCTGCTTGTGACAGGCAGAATTTAAACCATTCCCTTAGGCTTGTCCTGACAAGCGCAGAAATCAGAGTGTGGCTCTATTTTAGTTTTGCTCTTACTCTGCTTTAGTTTTGCTCTGCTTTTCTTTATGAGAGGGATTTCCAGCGCCAGCAGCCTGGGCTGGGGGAATGGCAGGAACTCCCAGCCTTGCCCTGGGGGATCAACCCTATTGCCTGAGCTCTCCTCTCTGGCCCTGCTCAGCATTTAGCTGCAAGGGCTCCCGGGGGCCCTGTTACCCAAACCAGCCTCTCTAGGATCTCATCCTGCCGTGCTTCTGGCGCAGCAGCCAGAGAAGGGCTCACCGAGCCTTCCTGGGAGGTTGCTGGTGGTTGAGAGGCTGGAGCAGCAGGAGGGAGCTTTGTTTCAGCCGATCAGGAAAAGCGGCTCAGACACTGCCCAGCTCTTCTGCCCCTGCAGCCTCCCCACAAGCCTGCCCCCTCTCAGGGCGCTTGTCCTCCAGGCTCGGTTCCGCCGGGCTG